TTTGATACGCATTAGCATTTGTTGTACATGTAAACACACTCAGTCACTATTTTATATTACAGGTAGACAATATCTAATCCTTCAGGTGACAATTGTCTATTGGCACTTTTTACAGTGCGTGGGCCTTTCTTCTGCATAGTGCTATATTGTGTATGTTTTCTCAGCCCATAGGGAGAGCCTGAAGCCCTCACTCTGATCTCTCCAAAAATGTGGTTTGGTCGTCTCACCCCTTCCCCCTCCACTGCCTTTGGTTAGGGCTGCATGGACAGGCAGATGTGACCCGGATCAATAACTTGTTTAAAGCGCCTGGTCACTGATGCATTTATGCACTGATGGATATCCCCCAATCCTGAGGCTGTTGTTTACAAAGAGGACTCAGTATTAACATCTGAAAGCCACTTTAAATATTCACTGCAAGGAAGCAGTTTTACATTTGATTTGTAAAAAGAAAAACATCGTGCCTCAGAATTGTACATTTGATTAAAGAAAGTTCTATTTGCATACAAAGAGTGAGGAATATATTTCATGCTGTTTTTGTTCCCTGGAGCCAAACACTACCAAAACAAACCTTTCTCAGCTCTCAGTGCGATTGGAAGTTAGAGGCGTATCATTTAGCCCATCAGTCAGTCCGTTCTGATCACTGTGAAAGACACTGTGTTGACCGAATCAGATCGTTGTATCCTCAAAGGGTCTTATGAGGCCTGCGTTCGATTCATCCCCGGAGCATGTTGCCCCTTTAAGAAAACCACATCTGTCCATCATGGTTATTCATTCATCTCAGTGGACTCACTGCACTGAGCTTCATTGTTTTACTGAAGCAGCCTTTTTATAAAAAATTTAAAAAAAAGTATACTTTAGCATACTTTTAAAAAGAGTGGTTATTACAGAAATAATATACTTCAAATGAATGCACTTAAGAATATAGCAAGAATGTACTTAAGCTGAAAGTAATATTTTCAGACTCTTAATAGCATGTTATATAAAATTAAATAACAATGTATTATAGTTTACATTTATATTACATGCAATTACTGTAAAAAAGTGTGATTTTAAAACTATTGTATTAAAACTCATTTATATTGAAACTTGAATGTCATGTACTTAAATATATTTGTAATTACACATTTGTAATGATGAAGTGGCATTTCAACACATTTAAAATGTTAATTTTAAATATAACATCAAAAAATGCACTACAGTTAAAATTATAATGATGTATTTTACATGTGCTTTAGCATGTTAATCAACACATCAAAATAAGTGTGCTTCTTTAAAGCACAACAAAAGATTATTAAAACATGATTTAAAATGTACATTAAGTAAAACTTTTAATTTGACATTACAAAGTGCACTTTAAAAAAAAGTGTACTTAAGTGAGTACTTAAGAAGTATGAAAATGTCTCTTTAGGTACACTTAAGTGTCCTTTTATTTCATTAATGTTGTCTACAAGTACAGTTTTTTTTTAAATGCACTTCTAAGATTTGAAGAACACTGTAAGTGCACATTCAATACTATTAAGTGCACTTCTTTTTCACATGGGAGAGCAGAATGTTTGACTTCAGGATGCAGAGGAGAAAACGCCGCAGTTTATTTAATTGATAACGGATGAAGGTGCCTGAGAGAGGTCAGGGGTCAGGATTGCCATGGAAACTGCATGTGTTTAGGGACTGGGTGGGGTGTTTGGGGGTTAGGACTGCAAAAGGTCGTAGTTCATAGGTTGCTGCTGCAGCTTTTTTCAAACAAAGGCCATCATTGCCTTCTGCACGCTTGGCCTGCTGTCTGTCCGTGTCGCGTGATGAAGGCCTCGGGTCAGTGCCTGTAAACCACCAGAAGCCTCTCTAGTGTCCCCCAAAAGTCCCCTGTGCCCTGCAGTCACCCACATGACCTCAGCTGAGTGGACATCAATGCAGCAGCGACTGCCCCATACCAGGCACCCATATGCCACTGGGAGCTCCGCACATGGCCCTCCTCTAAATAATTGTGTAAACTCTGACAGCCTGGGCATGAATGGACATCCAGGAAAGCACATTTCAAAATGCACTCGATTATTTATTTTATTTTTTCAGCTGAGTGGACATCAATGCAGCAGCGACTGCCCCATACCAGGCACCCATATGCCACTGGGAGCTCCGCACATGGCCCTCCTCTAAATAATTGTGTAAACTCTGACAGCCTGGGCATGAATGGACATCCAAGAAAGCACATTTCAAAATACACTTATTTATTTTATTTTTTAAAAAAGCAATGTTTTATTTTAATTGGAATATATTAAAAGTACAAGTATCTGGCCAAAAACATACCTGAGTAAAAGTAAAAAAGTACAACTTTAAATTGTACTTGAGTATTAAAAAAGTACAAGTACCCTAACAAAAACAAAAAAAAAGAGAGTGAAATTCTTGTTTTACCATGTTAAACCATCTTCTCAATACAAAGTTAAATTGCTTAATTAAACTGACCAAACCTTTGTATATCTGTCTTACAAAAGATTTTATGCAAAGTAAGAAACAAAACAAAACACAATGACCGCATGTCAAAAACATCGATCTAGTGCAACAACAACAATGAAATGCAGCACAGCAGAACACAAAAAAATACAGGCTTCACACCCTATTCATGCCATCCCATATGTATATAACTGACTGTCTTCAGATGAACACAAAAAAAAAAAAATTAATCTCTGCATATAATGCAAGTATACAGGACAAGATGACGCTTCAAAAACTACACAGTGAAGCTGACGGTAACCAAAACAACCCCTGTTGATGAATCTGCGTCTTCTTAAGTGAAATGATAGGCATGTGTAAGGAAAATACAAATATTAATATTTTAAACTTGACCGTCATGTTCGCTTTGTGCGGTTTCTTAAGCTGAGATGCGTGTACTTGATGCATGAAAACAAACCTCACTGGTTCTCACATGTCAAAAGCATTTTTGAGCTTCTACTTACCATATTTAATGTGCATAAGATAAAATAAAAATGCAAAAATATAATGAGTGCTTTTTAAGTTGAAATAAAATTGTAAAGAGTAAAAAGTAGTTTTTTTCTTCAGAAATGTAATCAAGTAAAAGTACAAGGAGTCACTTTAAATTGGCATTAAACAGCTTGAAAGATCAAAGACCATTTTTAATATAACTCCGACTGGATTCGTCTGAAAGAAGAAAGTCATATACACCTAGGATAGTAATTTATGGGCTAATTTTCATTTTGGGTGAACTAACCCTTTAAGTACAGTAATCAAGTAAAAGTATTTTACACCCCTGAAGTCAGGGTATCATAAATCCTGTTCTGGATTTGATCAGGATTTGAGTCAAACCCTGCTGCAAGTCACTCACGTGATATTGTTCATATGGTGATTGTTTTATTAATTTAAGTACATTTCTTGTTATAATTGTTCTGCAGGTGTTACAATTGTGGCGGTATGGACCACCATGCCAAAGAGTGCAAGCTGCCTCCCCAACCTAAAAGATGCCATTTCTGCCAAAGTGTCGCGCACATGGTCGCCAACTGCCCCGCCAAAGCCCAGCAGTCGTCTCAGGGAAAGTCTAGCGGTGTCAAAGAGGAGAAAGCAGAGCACAGTTATTCCCCGCCACCCACCGGGAGCGCCGACTGAGACAGCATAGAACGGTGGGATGACGCTTGAAAACCAATCATATCACTATACTGGGAAAAAACTAAAATGCTAATGCTGCTGTTGAAACTCCCTCAGGTCTATAAAAGCAACAGATGAGAAGAATGTAACTTTTTTTTTTTTATTGGTTTAACACTCAGGAATAGAGCTGCTCTCAGGAATCTCAGTACAATGTTTGGTGTATTTACAGAAGTAGTTATCTCATATCTCATTAAGGGTACGTTTACATGACAACAATGTACTAAAACAGAAAAATTTTCCATTGCGTTCCGCATACAAATGTTGTCAAAACGATCCCCGTTCACACGGATCTGTGTAAACTGCTAAAACACTGCATTATGCATGCCAGGCCAGTAGTTGGCGATGTCGCTTTGTAAAGAAACACTACGCGTCTGCGCACCTACATATTCTTCAAGTACTGGTGCATTTAGACTGAACGCGTAATACGTATGCGCATGATGTCACTGTTTTTTATCCTCAAAATTATGTTTTAGTAGTTTACACTGAGGCGATAACGGTATTGTTTTCAAAAAACATGTACTTTGAAATTTGAAAGTTTGCGTTTTCAGGCCTCCAAAGCGCCATTGTTGTGAATGAACAGCCAAAACGCATTAAAAATTTTCTGTTTTGAGTTGAAAACAGCATTGTGTAAACACCCCAAGTTATTTTTAAACGTGTTTTCTCTGCAGAGCTCGTCTAGAGTTGGCGAAAGGAATATTCCTAAAACAAAAGTCTTATTCTTACAGTTTATTGACTGTTTGATGCATTTGAATATTTCTTGTATTTCTTGATGCTTTTATGAAAATTGTTTTTTTTGGGGGGGGGGATTTGGCAATTGCCAGTTTTGCAATAGACTGTCCTGATCACCAGGGACCAAATGAATGTTAAACCGCTGACCTGGCTCTCTCAACCAGCGGCTCCTTTTACATGTGTCCAAATCTGTCACTAGTGATCTGCGGTTATCTTCAAACAACACACTCTATTAGACATGAAAGTACATAATCACACTTTTATCTCTAAACTTCAGTCTACAGTCAAATCTCGGCTCGATGTTGGCTATCTTGTCTTAAATGCTGCTGATCTGTGTGTCTGCTAGCAATATATTTTGTTATTTGTCTTTGACAATTGGCCTCAGGGGTTTTCTTGGAGAGAGAAATAAGTTATTCTTTTGAACAAATGTTGCACCATTCCTACGTCGATGGTGAAGACATTGGCTCCTTTCTCTAGCTGCCTATAGTGTTTGGAATGTATTTAACAGCCTTTTACTCCCATTTTACAGGAGGAGCTGAAAGACTTTAAGACTTATTTAATATACATACTGTTTATGTAAACCTATTATTAGCCTTCATGCATAGTATTTATTTATAGCAATGTGTTTTGCATCTTCTCCACGATGTAAAAGAGACTCAGGCTCCTACCTCAAGTATCTCAGAATTATTTCCTAAAATACCTCAACCATCATGTGCCAGAATCGGCTGATACGGATGAAACTGATTTGTGTGTTTGTGTTTTATTGCACTGATTTTGTTATCTTGTGGAGCATTGTTTTTTTTCTCTGTCTGTGCTGAAGACTGCACTGCACTCGGCCTCATCTGACAGATTTACGTTTTATTTTTCAGTCGCTATTTGACCTATAAATGCCTTTTACTTCACCAGTGTTGAATCATGACTCTGCAGTATGTCAGATTACTCGAGTGTGAGGAAGACATGATTTGTGACATGAATTATATTATTTTATTATATAGGTCCATACCATCATAATCATTGTAATTATTGACTTTTCGAGATTTGATCAAACGGGAATGTATATCCTATCGAGAATGTTGTGGTTGCCTCTTACATAAGCTGGAAACACGATATCTAATCCATTCCTTTATGCAATAATATTTAAGTTCCTGTATTTAATAAAAGAAGGAATCGTACAAAGTTTTGCACCATTTAGATGCGTTCATGCTGTTTTTGACTATCCCGTTGATCCTGGGAATCACTTCTTGAACATTTGAATGTAATGTGAAGTTTTCAATGGTTTGTCATCTAATAAATTTAGTGGAATGTAAGAAAAAGACTGTGGCTGTGACTTCTTTTCTCAATATTTTATTTATGGGTAAATTCCCAGCCCTAAAACGGCCATGAAAATTAATCTTTTAAAGTTATGGAAATCTCTATAGTCAGCATAATTATTTTTTTGTCAGTACAATCTCTATAAAAAGCTGCATGTATTCTGATTTAACAGCTACATTTACTCTGATGTTCCTTTCTCGGCGACTAGCGAACAAGCAGAACTAGAAAAAAAATAGTAGTGAGCGTATATTGCCAACTTGATGGTAAATTTACGAATCCAACTCTAGCGCAGCGTCACCTCATGAATATCAATTACGCAATGTGACGTTCCGCCCGGTAGGCTTACCTGATTGGCTAAAAGACAGGCGTTAGTAAGTGGGCGTAAGACTGGTTTTGTGCTCCAGGGTCACATTTAATAAATTGAATAAATAAAGCTTTACCTATGCATTGACTTCTAGTGGTCAAATGCAAGTCTTTACGAGTAAGCACGCAAATTTCTTCTCAAAGTCAAATGAAATTTTTATATATATATATATATAAACATATATATATATATATATATCTTGCTTAAGGAAAGTAAAGGCTGTTTTGACATTTATGCATTGTGATATTATTTTAACAACATTTCCCCCCAAATTCTCATTACATAACGTGTCTGGATGATTGTGCTGTTGTTGTTTTTTTCAGTTAATTTCAGCAACAACAAATGCTACCATGATGTATACATATTTTTGTATAATTAAAAAATTAATGCATTTTTAAAAATAATTTTATTAAAATCTTTTTCCATTACAATAATGAGAACGAGATGTTTTTGCATTGCATGTTGAGAATTGAGTGGGAAATGTCATATTTCTTTCTGTTAAACCAGGAAACTTTGAATTGAATGTAACTATCTCTCAACTATGATTTTGCATATTCACTCACTGTCATGTAACAGGCACATATGCCATCCTGCCTGAGCTTCCAGCGGTGGGGGGCAATGAGGGCGTGGCCCAGGTCATAGAGGTGGGTGACAAGGTGAAGACACTCAAGCTGGGCGATTGGGTGATTCCAAGAGATGCCGGCATAGGTGAACATTCAGTTTACATTCATACGGCTGGTATGGTCAATGTGATTATCAGTAGTTCCTAATCTCTTAACACCCCTGCGTTGATCTGCACAGGAACGTGGAGAACAGCAGCTGTTTTGAAGGCTGATGATCTGGTGACTTTGCCTAAAGACATTCCTGTACTGTCTGCTGCCACTTTGGGAGTCAATCCCTGTACAGCTTTTAGGATGCTCACAGACTTTGAGGAGCTCAAACCAGGTTGGCAGCTCTTAACTCTATCCAAACCACTCATCGTACAACAGAGGTCTTTACTGAACTCTATATTTTAGGAGACACAGTTATCCAGAACGCAGCTAACAGCGGCGTCGGACATGCTGTTATCCAGATTGCTGCTGCTAAGGGCATTCAAACCATCAATGTCATCAGAGACAGGTAAAAATTAACTTATAGGAGTATGATGAACAGATTTGGAGATATGTAGCATTGCATCACTTGCTCACCAATGGATGCTCTGCAGTGAATGGGTGCCGTCAGAATGAGAGTCCAAACAGCTGATAAAAACATCACAATAATCCACACCACTCCAGTCCATCAGTTAACATCTTGTGAAGTAAAAATCTGTGTGTTTGTTAGAAAGAAATCCATCATTAAGGCGTTTTAACTTTAAACTGTCACATCTGGGGAAAATACCAGTACATAATCCATAATAATGCATAATCTTGGAATTCTATAATGAGTTCTGAGTCCTTTATTCCAGCTTGACACTGAAGTGATAGAGTTTACAGCAATAATAGCACATACGAATAGATTTGGAAAAGAAGCACTGTCACTGGATTAGATAGAGATGCTCTGAAGGTCCAGTTAAAAAGTCTTCTCAAACTTAGGTCTACAGTGTTTCATGAAGGGACTAGTCCTCCAGCCCACTAAAAACTCCCATTCAGACTCTATTCTGGTTGGTAATACATACTTTCCACAATCCAGTAAATTCCAGAAATGTAAAAACAATTTCACTTCTTTCACTTGGAAATTTTCGGAAGTAAAATGGGTTGTGAATGCTGTTTCATGTTGACTTAAAATAAGTGTCCCGTATCAGCTTCAAAACAGCTCTTAAGACAGAATGTGCGGAAACTTTGTATTGTTTGTGATTTTAGGCCTGAGCTGCAGCAGCTCTCTGACAGACTGACAGCACTGGGTGCCACACACGTCATCACAGAGGAGACACTGAGACGGCCAGAAATGAAGGAGCTTTTCAAGGTCAGTCTTTCTGCTTGGCCAAAATATCCCAGTGCTACAAGCATATTTCCTTTGTCTAGAAGTGAATTCTGTTTTGTAAAAGCGACATGTAAAAACATTCTGTAGCTAGAAAGAGATTCTGTATTTTGATGGTGTTCGGGGGTTTGCTTTTAACAGTCGTGTCCTCGGCCTAAACTAGCTCTGAATGGAGTTGGAGGAAAGAGCGCCACAGAGCTGTTACGTCATTTACAGTAAGTGGCTACATTACCGAAACAGATAAATGAAGATTAAAAAATGTCCCCATGTCCACCAGCTTCTTTAGTGGCCTTTATTCCAAAAGAGTTTTTCTCATATATGCTTTCCATAGAGATTTAAATAAAGTTCTGAGGGGCCCACTAGGGTGCTCAGCAAAATCCCAAGGGGGCAAAAGTATATATTATATTTAAAAAATGTAACTTAATTAAAATATTTAAAACACAAAATCAAGATGAAATCATGCTTCTTTTTTCCTCTCAATAACTAACATTTTAAATGAAGAATATCCGGTTCTTCTTTTAAAGTCTCAAAATTTCATTCATTTATTATTATAATCCCAGTTACTGTAAAAATGAATACAAGCAGCTTTGTCGTAATTTGTCATACTGCAGAAATACTAGAGGAAATATCTTCATCAATATAATAGGAGCCCCTTTCATTTTTTGATGGACGTAGAGATGGAATGAAAATTTTATATCACGATTATAGTGACCAAAATTATTATGGTTATCAGCATTATCTTGGCATTGTTAAAATGAGCTGGAAATGTTCAAAAAGTACTGATATACACATTAAAATCATATCAGCAAGTTTTAAATTTCAAACCAACACTATGAACTTAGTGTAATAAAATTAACATTTTGACAAAAAAGATTTAGAAAATGATAAACCTCACATTTCAGCATTTAAACCATTTTTTTTCAATAAATTAAAAATTATCAAAATTATAAACGATTTCACTTTATTATTTGAACTGTTTAGACTCCACATTACCTTGTTTTTCATCATCAGTTAAAATTGACAACACTGTGTAAAAAGGCAGACAGACTGAAAGAAAATGCAAATTCACTCTCTTGGTCCTCTGTCTTCCACAATGTTTTCACAGAAATCAAAACCTAAGTTGCATGCTTGTCTGCATGAGACTGTTGCTAACTTTGCTTAATGCTGGGCAGTATTTAGCGTGGATTTTTCAAATCGTGGTAAACATAGCTTTAATGCACTTTTCATTAAGACCCTAAAGAATCATATCAACTTGTGGAAAATGGGCATCCGATGACCCCTTTAAAATGTGAAACTGTAAAATGTTACCTTGGTTTATCATGAAAACTGGTAACCGTTTCATCCCTAGTTGGAAGGAGGCCTTCGTATCAACCGCTGTTCTAAAGCATGAACCAAACAAGTCAGCGGAACAACATTACAAACTTTGATTTGATCCGATAGGACCCTTGATAAGCATTATGAATGAGGTCTGTACATGAACGAATAAGGTTTCTGTGTTCCTCAGAAGTGGAGGGAGTATGGTGACCTACGGTGGGATGGCCAAACAACCAGTCACTGTTCCGGTGGTGAGTTTAACTCTGTTCTGTCTCATCTGCACCGGATCAGACTTGATATCTGCGGTTTTATAATTATAGTGGAAGATTTATATAGTCATGTTCCTGTCATGTGGTGCACATTGCAGTTATAGAAGTCTGATGTGTTCTTTAGAGTGCACTGATCTTCAAAGACGTGAAAATAAGAGGTTTTTGGGTGACCCAATGGAAGAGAGACAACAAACATGGTGAGTGTCTCCAGAAAAAGTTGACATGTTATGTGTTCATTGAAGCTTTCTTAAATCGTGCTGTTGTTTGAGGATCAATAGAGTTGAATCTAAAATCCTCCTTGGCACCTTTGGCCTCTTGCGATAGATGAAGACACCCTGCGTAACATGCTGGATGAACTCTGCATCCTCATTCGTGCCGGGAAGCTGTCGGCTCCAGCTTGCACTGAAGTGAGCCTTCAAGACTTCAGAAAGGCCCTGGAGAACGCCATGAAGCCGTATGTGTCCACTAAACAAGTTTTTGTCATGTGACCCCATTTGAGTGTCTCGCGTGTATTCACATGTGTTTGGTAAGATCTACGTAATCTTAATTCAGCCCAAACACACATACAGTAAATGTGGGACATCAAAGTCCAGTGAGCTTTATCAGCTTCACTGCAGGTTTTGGCTTTGATTTTGAATATGTTGACATTTATTATACTTTTGGTATTTATGAGCATCATAAGGATTATCAGTCCATCAGACGTCGGTCAACATTTACAGATAACCAGATAATGTACAGAGAGTATGAGTTTGACTACATGCCAAGAAAGAGTGAGCATTTATTTCATCTCAAGCATCTTGGCAGATTATTGTTGCTTTATCACATGGAGTCAAATGTGTAAATCCTCATATGGGGCGTTCATGTTGAAGGCAGACATTCATGTCATTTATAAAACCCTGTAACAAACTGAATAATGAGAAATTACGACATGTTAAAAAGATAAACAACATTTTGTTAATGATATGAATTAGTACAACAGTAATAAACACATTGGGGTTTGCTAAAACTCATAGTTCTCTTGGCTGGTATTGACAAAAAGTTTCCATTAATTTGCAACTTTAGATGGCTACTGTACTGTGTTGTTGGTCATAGTGAGTGTTCCTACCGCTGGATGCCCTAATTACTGCTGGACTCTACAACAGTGGCATTGACATTATGTAGTGTGGAAAAAAATTAACATCATGTTGATAAATGCATTTATATATAAATTGCAGGAGTGCATAAATTTATCATCATGAAGATGAATCAAACCACTTTTGACAGTCTTTCATGCAAAATAAAAAAAAAAAAATCTTTTAAATGAACAGAGACAAATCAGTGTAAGCTTGTTTCTGACATGGGATTAAAAAAAACATTACATGCAACTTTTCATCTCAAAATTAAGATAAAGTCAGAATTCTGAAATATATAAACTCAGAATTGTGAGAAAATCAGGATTGTGAAATGAAAAGTCGCAATTACCTTTTTAATCTCATAGTCTCGCAATTTTGAGATAAAAAAAAAATCGTGATTAACTTTTAAATTTTTTATTCTGTGGCAAAAAAAATACAGTTGTGAGATGTCCTCTTTTGGAAGGCCAAACAAAGTAGTTTCGCTTTCACAACGAAGCACACAGTGACTTCACGACATGACAGCGGCGGCAACAATACTACAGCGTGAATAAAAGTTATGCCTTCTTTCTTTGTGTGAACATTTGGGCGGTGTTATGCAAATCTTCCCACATCGTGAGGTAGACATGTGGGGGCGTGTTAGAACGAGCCGTTTTAGGTAGGCGTTTTTGACTCTTAACTTTTATAAAGAATATCTCTTTGGATTTGAGATTTTAGTCTTTGCAACTTTACAGATCTTCTTTATGCACCAAGAGCTTGTAACACAAAACATTTTTTGAAAATCGCATCATATGACCCCTTTAATGTAATACAGCAGTGTTATTGCAGAGAAACCATTTCACTCATATACAGGGCGTTTTTGACTCTTAACTTTTATAAAGAATATCTCTTTGGATTTGAGATTTTAGTCTTTGCAACTTTACAGATCTTCTTTATGCACCAAGAGCTTGTAACAAAAAAAAATTTGAAAATCGCATCATATGACCCCTTTAATGTAATACTGCAGTGTTATTGCAGAGAAGCCATTTCACTCAGATATACACTATGTCTCAATAAAGAAGAAAAGACAGCTGCAATTTTTCCACATTTCTGTGGAACACAAAAGATGATGTTTTGAAAAATGTTCGGGACCCCCCAAAAAACATTTTCATTTTGCGCTGAACTAAGAGACAGTTACATAAATATAAAGAAATCATGAAAGATCAAGTTTATGAATGGTACATTAAAAGTTTAAATACCTTATATACTGGTGAGAACGTCACTGACGCTCATGCACCGGTCTGGAGGGATCACGTGACAATATTGCAGAAATGCTGCTGTTCTGTGATCAGCTCAAACACAGCAGGCTCAGCATCAGTGACAGCAGCAGAGTAAACAGCACTGGAGCAGTGGACGAGCCTCCCTCCTTCACCACGCACTTCTCATAGGCCTCAAAGTCCACTTCCCTCATCGCGCACACGTGATCGACGCGGCAGTCAGCGTGGCACTCCGTCAGGTCATAATTCACAGAGTTAAACTCAAAGTACTTCTGCAGATAACACTTGTCGCTGGTGATCCGCTCCATCACGCGGTGCATGGAGGCGGGAGAGGCGTCCGGCACACGAAACGCCTCCGTCAGCCGGTACTCCTTCTCCCAGCGCTCATACACCTTATTTGCGTATGTCAGGTTCAGATAGTAGGTCAATATATCCTTCAGGAACACAAAGCAGCAAGAAAAGAAATGTGTAAATCAGGGTTATTACAGCAGTATGTACTTTAACATTTTTTAACCTCGATTTGCAACAGTAAGCTTATAATAATTTTAAATTTGAGGTGTCGGGTCCGATTTCGCGGGAAATTGACGTAATTCGTCAGTTCGATGTCATTCTGTGCGTAGTTACGTCACGTTGTAAACAGAACAAAGATCTGGCTATTAAAAGTCGCGTGTGGAGCGTTTGTAGCTTGTTCTTACAATAGTTGCTTAGAATTTAAACTTGTCATCTAGATGGCTGCTTTAATCTGTAAAGTTCTAAACGGTAATACCTGTTAACATCTGGGGAACCGGTTTCAAAACCAAGAAACCGCAATCTGTGGAGGGTCTGCAGTCAAAAAAGAAAGCGACAAAAGCCTGTGCTAAAACGAAGGTAAATGAACAACTCCAAGATCTGACTTTTTTTCAGCTGAACAGGTAAGACATTTCAGTGACTCAATAGCTATCATTAGAGCACTTGTTTGCTTTATTTAGATAGGTATCAAGTTTATTAATTAATTTATTATTTGTTTTATTATTATTATTTAATTGTATTTTAGTGAGGTAAATTTAACTTTATCTTCCGGTAGCTATGAGAGAGAGTATACCGTGTGATCTGATCTGACTGAGCAAGCGTTTATAGATATTTTAGTTACTTGTTGATTTAATTTTTTTTCCGGTAAGTATGAAGTATGTGGATGTACAGTGACAGATCTGCTCTGATGTGGTGCTCACAGATTCATCTGCCTACAGGAGCAGTGCCAAAGCACAACCCGCGTAAAAAAAAATAACTCCGTGAGTGTCTTGCATTTTTAGGTTTCAAACATAGAGGGCGATAGAGAGGCAAAAGTTACGTGCTGCAGCTTTAATTAAAACTAAAACAATAAAAATGTTATTTGAAATCAAATAAAATATTTGATTTGATTTAGTTTAACTTGATGTAAAATAACTAAATCTAATGAATAAATAAAAAAGAATAAAAACAGTATAGATGTATATTAAAAATTTTTAACAAAATAAAATTACTAAAACATTAACTAAAATGAAAGTGAAAACAGAAAATAAAATCTAAATCAAAATATTAACAAAAACTATAATAGGCCTCAGTGGTACTAAAACAATGCTGGTGTAAATATGTGTAAAGTTTGCAATATAAATATATATTTCTTCATGTGGATGGATCTTACCTTGATCAAAAGTGTTTTGGTGTCATACTCAAAGATGCGAATTCCGGGATTATTTCCACCATCTATGACACCAGGTAATGTTGTCCAGGGCGTCACTCCTGGAGTCAGGAACATCGCACTTATGGGAGATCCTGTAAAGGGATATTAACGGCTTCAATTTTACAAACAATTTGTGAAAGTCATCTTCACTCTCAAGACAAAAAGACATCACTGGGGTGGTACCCTTTCAAAACGAAGTAAGGTGCACCATTTAGTTACTAAAATGTACCATTGAAGTACTATGCACTTTTTTGGGATAAATATGATACAAATGTGTACCTTTTGAGAAATTGAGATTTATACATCATCTGAAAGCTGAATAAATACGCTTTTTTGATGTATGGTTTGTTAGGATCGGACAATATTTGGCCGAGACACAACTATTTGAAAATCTGGAATCTGAGGATGCAAAAAAAATAGAATATTGAGAAAATCGCCTTTAAAGTTGTCCAAATGAAGTCCTTAGCAATGCATAATACTAATGATGATACATTTTTGATACATTTACGGTAGGAAATTTACAAAATATCTTCATGGACCATGATCTTTACTTAATATCCTAATGATTTTTGGCATAAAAGAAAAATCGATAATTTTGACCCATACAATGTATTTTTGGCTATTGCTACAAATATACCCCAGCGACTTAAGACTGGTTTTGTGGTCCAGGGTCACTTATAGCGTTTTTTCTGGATGGTTTTGTAGATTGTACCTCCCTGGGCTTGGCTAACATGGTGGCGTTCTTTGGTGTGGCTGCGTTTTGTGAGTGCTGCTTGCCTCGAGTTGTGTAAGGCAATGTTTTTCATATTAATAAACGGCAAACAGCCCCCATGCAATAACATGACTCGCATTCTCACGCCTCAGGCTAGAGCTGTTACCTACTCCCAGTGCAGTGAAACTCATATGCACCTTAGAAATAACTTTGCTCTACTGAACACTCGTTCCAGGCGCGGCGTCAAGAGTTGTGTAGGTAACTAGAAAGTTCACCCTATTCTTCACCTAGTTCAACGTACTTATGTATTTCTGAAGAAATGGGTGAATTTACGTGATGATATTCCAAAGATCCGATTCTCTGAATGAGCATTATGAAGTTTTTTAAATGACAAACACATTCACTTACACATATTTGACAAGCGAATATATCATATAGTTAACAAGTGAATATTTTTAATAAAACACTGAAAAATAAAACAAAAGTGATAGGCCACATCTGTCATACAGCGCTGTTGTGCCTACATGTCGCGTCACTATGGAAATAGTAAGGTGATACTTTCAAGCACCGACCCACCATTCTTTTTTTTTTCTATTTTGTTTTTCACTATACTGTACAACAGAACGTGCGCCAGAAGAGCCAGCTGTCAATGTCAGTTGTCCTCCATGTGTTTTTCTTCTCGTCACGTTTGATTTCTTGAGTCTCCGTGAGA